ATTAAGCAAAAATGAATATTATTAGTTGAAATTCAAAAAAATTTTGGTATTCGTCATTATGTAACATTTCCAATGTTTTTTTTAATGAAAATAAGGTAAATAATTAATATTTTGAATATGTTCCTAGTGGAAATTTTTTAATAATGTAATTAATTCTAAAGGGTGACAATTGCCATATTCGACATTCCCAACGCCTCAGTCAAAAAGAATATCTCAGGCTTAGCCCCAAAAAATAGGTTATTACTAAACTACACCTAATAGATATAATCATAAAAACATCAGAAAATCTAAGTAATTTAAAATTTTGCCCAGGTTTCCACATGGCCAGTAGTGTTGTTAAAAAGCCCGATTCGGGTCGATTATAAAAAACGGTCCGGTTAAGATTATAACCGAACTATATTATATTAAACCCGGAGATTTCGCTCACAGATGGCAAATAAAATATTTCCGATCTCAATGCAATCACACCAAGGACTTAAGCTTAAATTAATGAATTTTATTATGCCTATCAACTCATTTCCCCTTACCTGAAAAACATTTCGATAATCGGAAAATATAGTTTCATTCGTCGGTTCACTCATTGGGTGCAAATGAGCAATGTTCAAATTTACAGAGGAATAACCAATAACTATGTAAGCCTAAAGATCTTGCTTCCAGCCTAGCAGAAATGCTTAAACATCTAATTTGCCAAATCTCGATGCTAAACATAATATTATTTTTAAGCTATATTATGAAAAATCAGACTTATTAACATAGACTACTGGCCAGAATCAAAATGTTAACATCATAGCCTAACACGTGACTACAAGATCTCGATGATGTTGGATAATTTCGATATACTCAGAGGATCGATTATAAAAAAGATTAATGCTAAAAAAAAATTCTTACTTATCCAGATATCACTTCAAACTGAGCTAGAAAGGGGCTATTTAAAAAAAAACCCATTTAATTATATATAAAAAGAATTAATCAAATGTGAATCGTTAAGTTTATATTATCAAAGACCTAATAAAGAGGTACCATTTGCGTGTTCCGGCTTATTTTTAGAAAATTTTCGGGCTCGGCCCTGATTTTTCTAAACTATACGGTCCGGCCCCGGTATATTTAAAAAAATTAAAATACCGACAGGGTGTGCAGATCTCTGCTTATTATACCATAACAAGCCAGGGGCCCCTACAACGGGGGGGGGAGTCCGAAGCAACTGCTTCAGTAAATTTGAGTGGGGGTACTTTTTTTTAACATCCATCATGATCATGTGATTTCTGGTTTATAAATGTAACAATAAGATCCCCCACTTAATATTTAATTTAATATATTGAGGGAAATTTTGGTCGATGTTTAGTAAATTTGTTATCCGAAATTTCTTGTCATAAATTATTTTTCCAATTTTAAAATATGCCTAAAAATATTAACCAATATTGACAATAGCAAAATTCCTAGAAATTTGATTACTTATAGTATTAAAATGTATAAAGTTTTTTGCTTAACATGTCTCTTATTTGGTGGTCCACACGCAAATTCAAAATGGACATGTGAAGGTCTAGATAAATGGCAAAATATTAATCGTGATATTATTCTGCATGAATCTTCACAGGCACATATGATGGCCTATTATGGAAGGCTTTCTCATAATAATAATTCGATATTAAAATTTATAACACCTCAGAAAGAATGTGTAGATAATAACCGTTCTATTATAAGAATTATAATAAGATGTTTAGATTATTTAATATCTCGTAACCAAGCCTTCTGGGGTAACAGGCAACAAGAAATCAATATGATGGCCCTTATTAAGTGTATTGCAGATTCTGAACCTATACTAAAAATGTATATACAGCAAAATGAAGAAAGAAAATAGGATTAAAAACGAAATTATATTCAAACCTATTATCATATAATAACATAAACATTCTCATTGAAACCATGAAAAATATGGTTATAAAAAAATTCAAAATGAGATTACATTTAACAGGTGCTTTTCAATCATGCACATACGATGTTTCGAAATCAGAAGCAATAGCTTTGATAGTAAGATATGTTGAAAATAGATGAGACGCCGAAGCCTGTTGAAAGACTGATTGACATATATTGTAAGGGAAATACCACAGGTCTCGATAAAAAGCATAATATAATATCCAAACTTGGCTCGATGAATTTACCTCTTGAACAACTATTTGGGCAAAGTTATGATGGCGCCTCAAACATGAGTGGAAGAATCAATGGTGTGAAAGCCTTGATTAGAGCAGAGGCGCCAAAGGCAGATTTTATTTGGTGTTATTGTCATCGATTAAATTTAATCGTTGTTCAATTATGCCAATCAATTAAAGAACTTCGAAATGTTCTAGGAATACTAAATGAGATTTATGTCTATTTTAATGGTGTAAAAAGATATGAGGTACTCAAAAAATTTCAGTGTAATGATCTGAAAAAATCGAACGATTTCTACGCATCAATAATACCACTCGGTAATAGTACCTTATTTATTTAGATTTAAAATGTTTTTTTATTTAGAAGCTGGTTATCCTCATATAAAGCTATTGTAAATTTTTTTCTACTTTATGATGCCTTGAGGGCAGAAGGATTCTGAAGATCCTGCCACTTCCACTATGGCTAGTGCTATAGTCTTTAGAATAGAAAAATTTTATTTTATTTTATCACTTTGTATTTTGGATAAAATATTGTTGATAACAAGTTTGACTTGTACAAAATTGCAAACCATTTCGAAGGATATATGGTATGCAATAAATCAAATTCAATTGGCAAAAGATTGCTTGATTAATTTGAGAAGTATAATAAAAATTATTGTCTTAATTATTTTTTAAACTGAATTTTTAGATGTTTTTTCAAAGGCGCAAGATTTTATGAAGGAGAGAAATCTACATTTTTGATTAGGTGTGTTTTATGCTGCACTCGATTTAATTATTATGCAGTTTAACGAAAGATTTAATGATGATTCCATGAAATCTTTACATCAAACATCATTTTTTACGCCAAAGGGAATGGCAGAAAAATCAATTATTAAAGAAGATATCGAGGATATCTGTGAATTTACAATTTAAATTCAAGTAAAATTTTCGAAGAAATGTTGAAGTTTAGAAATAAGATGGCCAAAATGGGGATGTAATTATTACTCATGACCTAGAGGTTCAAGAATCTAAAGATTTGTCAGATTCTGAGAATTGTAAATTTATTTAATTAAAATATTTTTACCAATACATTATTTAGCTTCTTCTGATGATGATGATAATTCAGGGACTTACGATTCAGATTGGAAAAACTATTCATTTATTTTACCTTATCGTTTACTTTAAAATTTTTCTGCTTTCCCTAATTTAAGAATTTTATATAAATATTTATTAACCATTCCCACAACCTCATGTACTGCCGAAAGAGTCATGAGCAAAATTAAATTAATTAAAACAAGACTGCGCAGTACCATGAAAGATTCTTTTCTCAATAATTTAACCATATTATCAATGGGAAAAATTTTATTTAAACAATTAAATACTGATGAAATTATAAATTCTTTCGCTTTCTCTTCCCCTAATTTATCTAAATTATTAATTTAAAATAATATTTATAAAGTTATATTTTTTGCATTTTATTTATATTATATATTAAAAATTGATGCAATAAAAATTATTTTTGAAATTTATGAGTGTCATAATTATCATTTTTTCGAAGGGGGGGGGGATACTTTTCATGGGGGTATTCTGCTTCATTCGCTCAAAAAGTGTAGGGGCCACTGTAACAGGCTACGTTGTATAAAATTTTATATATCGATTTTTTGGTCATCTATCTCGACTTTAGAACACAAGTACCTTTTTGCAATATTAATTAGATCACATTATAAGAGACCATGTTTTTTTGAAAAAAGTAAGTCACTATATATTAGTATAAAGAGACTACCACTGCATTTATAGTAGCGCGAATTGCTCAAGCGATGCGAATTTAATCGCTCCAGCTGATTCGTCACATGCTATAATACTCTTTTGATATATGCATAAACAGCTGTAACGGTTATATCATCTTGCACCGTATTAAATAATTATAGCTTGCTTTTGTAAATTGTGCAGAGAATAATTTTGCACCGCTTGAATAAATCGTGCCTACTATAAATCAGTCACATGTCAAAAAACACAGTTAAGAATGCTAGATTAGGTAAAGTGGTGTTATCAAGGTAGTTATTTTTTTAAAACAGTAACTAGTTACAATTAGTTAAAAATGGTAACTACGGTCATCATTGTCTAACTTCAAACACTTCGTAATGCAGGCAACTCCCTTATTTGACCTTCAAAATACATAATTAAATATAAAAAAATTAGTTGAGAATTTATGATCCGCAATAAAATGGTAGACAGACTATGGTTATTAAATCCTAATTTTTAAAATAAATGACGAGCTAGTAAGCTTAAAAGAAATTAAAAACAGGATATCCTTGTCCAAATAATGTTGCTCAGAAAATTGAACGTTTCAACGCAGCGTTTCAAAACGCAAATAAAAAAAACGCAAACGCAGCTATGTCTATATTGAACAGTTAACTTCTTTTTTTTTTAAAAAAAATATGGTACTTCTAAATTTAAAACAAAAAAAAATGCTGTCCAATTTAAACGAATGCATATTTAAAATGTATTTGCGTTTCGAAACGTTAAGGTGAAAGGCTAAATTTGGGCGCACTTCAAATCATAAAAACAGGGCACCATTTTTTTTTATTTCATGATGACTAAAAGGTAATTATGTTCTTGCTACACTGGAAATCCCTGTTTCCCAATCTCATAGGATTTTCAATCCTAAACTTATCATCCTTTTCATGTCCAAATTTAATTGTTCAATTCCTATTTAATTTATAAAATTAGTGCATCCTTATATAAAAATTTCTAAAGAGAATATATAAAACAGACCCATACAATATGAACAATTTTTTCTTTATTTAATTACATCATTTTAATTTTGTAGATAACAAACATAAATATTCAAAAAATATAATATAAAGTCATAAATATATTTGTAATTTAAATAAAATTTACCTTAAAATAAATTTGTAAACAAGGAATGGATCATATTTATAAAATAAAATATAACAATCATCGATTATATTCCAATATTAATGCATCAAAATTAGGATTATCACATATAATACAAAAAAATGCCTAAATTTTTCAATTTTTTAACCATTCACTTCTACAAATGATATATTTCTCTTAAAAAAAATTTACCTTATGAATTAGATAATGAAAATCATATTTTGTTATTATAAGAATCAACTTTAATAAAATAATAATAAAAATCAATCATAAAAATCAACATGATCTCCTGATTTATAATTGCCATCTTTTAATAATTTAATCAGTTTTTCACAACTTTTATCGATGGGAACTAATTTATGTGAATTTTTTAAGTCTATAAAATATTTTTTAACAGATTCATTATAATGGTTGAGACATATATCATGCATCATATCTGTATCCAAAGGACCAGGTGCATAATTTAATACATGGACAAATACGTGTTTATCTATTACATCACCTTTTTCAAAGGTTTGTTCATTTTCTTGAGCAAAAACCTTAAAATATAATTCCCGTGCTGCCTTCCCTGCACAATACAATGAAAATCCTTGCATAGGAGTTGTACTCATTAGTGATGATATATTAACAACAAAAACTTGAAGCATAGGATTTGTGTTAGGATGAATGCACTTATAATTATTGATAGTTTTCATTAAAAGAGAATGAAATAGTATAGTTGATGTCATATTTGTCCGAAAATAAGATTCTAATAATTGGTCATCTTGTTCAGATAAAAACTGATCTGCTTTTTTTGACACAGAACCTAATGTAGCAGCATTATAGATAATTAAAAATTGTTCGATATGTAAATTAGATTTAGACATAATAGTGGAAATTTCCCCAATTTTATCCACAATATAACTATATGGTTGATCAAGATCAAATTTGATAAAGTTAATCATATTTTCCTTTATCTGACTTGCATTTGGTTCTAAAATTAATGAGCTTTTAACATCCTTTGATAATTTATCAACGTCTCTTCCAGTTAATATAAATATGTTACTTTTGTATTTTAGTATAGGATATATATGATCAAATATTGATTTTCCTAACCCACGTGTAGCTCCTAATATCAATATCAAGGAAGGTAATTCAAAATTGAATTTTTGAACCATTATATAATTTGATTATTTTGTAACATTGATACGAATATAAAAATAAAATGACAGGTGTTCTTATCATTAAAAATTAAATACCTATGGTCACGTTAGCTTTATATTAAATGGTTTTTTATAAAAATAGTGTTTTATTATATGTATATATTATTATGCTTAAATTCCTTTATTTGTTAATCGCAAATTATTTTGTGTAATAATAAGAAAGGATGATCAACAGAATTATTTCTAAAATGATCTAGATATTTTCAAAATATATCTAGTTTTTTTTTCAAGATGTGACTTATTATAATTGATTTTCAAAAATTGTTTTTATTACTTTAAAATCTAATATATATTCACATTTCCTATGATGTATTATCATGATGTGCGATTGATTTCTATCAATCATATTTTATTCTACAGTAGATACATTTAAAATATTTGCCTTTAAAATGCCACCTCCAGAAAAAACATTTTACTGTATATTCTTAGGCCCCCCAGGATCTGGAAAAGGGACGCAGGTCTATAACCCTGAATTAAATTATTTAAATTAATATTTTAGGCTAAAAAAATAATCGATATACATCATGTCTTCCATTTGTCCACAGGTATGATTGATAAATTTTAATATCAGCAATTATCTAATTTATTTACCCTCATTTTATTATATTATATACCACCTTTTAATTACGATTGATGATATTTTTAGTTTTTTTATGAAGAGGTTATATTGATTTAATTATTTTGAATTCAATTAGGTGATTTGTTGAGAGAAATGGCTGCAACAGGTACTGAACTAGGGAAAAAGGTTAAAGGTATTATGGATAAAGGCGAGTTAGTTTCAAATGATGTCATGTTTGCAATTTTGGAAAAAAAGTTATTGTCTCCAGAGTGTAAACATGGTGTTATATTTGATGGCTTCCCTAGAAATATAGCACAAGCACAAGAAGTAATGAAATGCAAATTTATATTTCATCAGTAATATTAAATTTTATATCTACCAAATTTATATATTTTACACTTTTTCTAGCAAAATATACAATATTTATATATTGTTAAACTTTTAACATTCAAATATTTTGACTATTTTAATACAATTATATATTTTAAGTAGATTTAACTTAATCAATGAATTATATTTGTATCTTTTTGTTTTTTAATTTTCAAAATGCTTAGACTTTAAATTTCCTTATCTGAAATATTATGTTAGATATTCCTATGATCCTTTTTAAATTTTTGTTTTATCTTTTAAAACATAGAATAATATTTAAATATATATTTTCTTTAAAAAATTATATTTTACTTTGCATTTATATACATTTCTTTTATTTTGATTTTAACATTTGGTATAACTTATTTACCTTCTTATACTTTATTTCATTAGTCACATTTATTATATCTACAACTTTAACAAATTTATATTTAAATGAATCTTCAGGTGGCCAGCTGCTCATTTGGGGGAAGGGGGGGGGGTGGCATTATTTTTTTTAAAATAAAACAAATAATTAAGCATTCATAAACATTTTTTACTATTTTTATTCAAAATTTATTCATATAATATGAATACAAAATAATACTATAATACGAATATATAAAATAATAATATAATATGACAATTTTTATTTATAAAATTTAACATAAATGAATTAAAGGATAAATTTTGTGTTATCTTTTTAGCCATTAATAATAAATTTAGCTTATGTTGATCTTTCATCGAATTTCAAGTGCTCTAAACTCTCTCTATAGAGAATGAGACCTCAGAAATCATTGATTCCTTATGATGATGGCTGCTGAGTGGCATTTATATAATTCTTTAAATGCATGATGATATATTTTTTTATACATAATATTTAGGATATTTTCAAAATTATGTTTTAACTTCTGCAGCTAATAATCCTTTTGTTATTTTCATTTCATGATGTAACGTTTCCATATTTAATTTAATAATGATTCTAATGGATCTGATATAAAATAATCAGTAACAAAGGGGGAAACATGATAGAGGATTATTATTATCATATTAATCTATCTAAAAAGATCAACAAAGTAATCAATAATTTCATAATAATTATTGTTTAAAGAACTCCAATTGGATTTTTTTTCACAATCAAATGTAATTTGGTCTTGACTAAAAAAAATTGAAAATGTATAGGCGTTTTATGTACCATTGATAGATTATTTAGCATCCACTAGATTAGTACCTACTGACGATAGATGCTTATTTAGGATCTATTGTTATTAATATTTCATAAATTATAGTGACAAATATAACATAATTTATATTAACACATTCAGATAAAAGACCAGTGGCTTTGACTGAATCATGAATGAAAGCCTCTGAATTAAGTTATACTAGAAAATTAAAATAATACTCTAAAAAGCCTTAAAATTCTCATAAATGATGCGAGATGTTTCTATATTACCAGTCCACCTCTGATCTAAAAGTCTCTTATGGCCTGTATATTTACAGGATACATTAAAACGCCTTAAAAAATTATATAATGCATTGGATAAATTTAAAAAAATTGGAAATGATAACAATAATATTATACCAATTTTGAACCGATGCAACTTGTGGTTGTAGCAATGTATAAAGCTTTTTTATTAATTTTTTTTAAGTAGGGTTTGCACTCCCCCATTTTGGCCAGATATCACGTTTGTACCATCATATGCCTGGTTTATTATATTCGAATTAATATTTAACTCATTAAGTTGTTTTAAAATGCAATCAGTAATGCCTTCAGCAGAAAGACACTGTAAATTAATAATTCCTTTTAAATTTTCTTGGACTTCTCCAGAAAAAATATAGCGAATAATTATGCTCAGGTTTTCGCAACCTGATGCATTTTTCGTCTCATCAGCCTTAAGACAAAAAAAGGGCATCTCGCTTTTGTTATATTTATGTGAAATATATTCAAGCACCATATCTGCCATAATAGATATTACTTCATTTTGAATCTGAGGTGATGTATATTGGGCATTTTTGGGTATAAATTTCACAATCTTATTTAATTCTGGATCTTTTTGAATCGTGTATGAAAACATTGCTATAATTAATCCAGAAGTATAAATTATTTTTGCAGCATATATAATTTGTGTCAAAGTGCCACTAAAAGATAGCTCCTTTATGCTAAGAAATAGCATCAAATCAAATATTGATTTAATATAGTAACGATTACGGTTAATTTGTTGGCATACCAAAATTATTGTTATCTCAATATCCTTATTTATATTTAGATTTTTAACATGCCAATTTCCTTCCATACAATTTATTAATTATAATATTTTTAGTGGAAAAAATTCTCCAATAATTCAAGTTCAATTCAAATCCCAGGTGACCTTTTCCAGAATAAACCAAAACAAATCAAATTAATCAATTTCATGAAAAAAAGATATCCATGGAAGGAAGATTAAGATCATTTCAAAAATCTGGTATAGAAGTCGAGACTGGTTGGAGTACATTGTAGAAGCTGACGCTGATTTTTGTATTCCACATAGGAAATACTTGTGTAGTTAAAGTGATGAATTTGAACAAAATAGATTCAGAAATTGGAAAAATGCGTTTGCTCTAAAGAAGGGACTGCTAAAACGTGAAAGCTCTAAAGTTCATTTAAATTCAATAACAATTTGGCATGATAAAAATCAAAATATAAATAAGGATACTGCAATTTTGGTATGCCAACAAATTAACCCTAATCGTTATTATCTTAAATCGATATTTGATTTGATGCTATTTCCTAACATACAGGACCTACTTTATAGTGGGACTGGTTCAACAAAAATTAAGGACGCTATAAAAGATGAAAACATAATTTATTACCCTGGACTATTTATAACAATATTTTCATACACAATCCAAAAAGATCCTGAATTTAATAAAATTATGAAATTAATACCCAAAAATGCCCAATATCCATCACCCCACATTCAAAACAAAATAAATATATTATGGCAGATATGGTGTTTGAATATATCTCAGATAAATATAACAAAAGTGAAATGCCTTTTTTTTTGTCTTAAGGCTGATGAGACAAAAGATGCATCCGGTTGTGAAAACCTGAGCATAATTATTAGCTTTTCAGTAGAAATCCAAGAAAATTTAATAGGAATTATTAATTTAGAGTGTCTTTCTGCTGAAAACATTACTGATTTCATTTTAAAGTAACTTAATAAGTTAAATATTAATTCAACGAATATATATACGATGGCGCAAACGTTATTTCTGGCCGAAATGGAGGAGTGCAAGCCTTACTTCAAAAAAAAAATTAATAAAAAATTTTCTTTTATACTGCTACAACCACAAATTGCATCTTGTGGTTCAAAATTGATATAATAATATTGTTATCATTTCTAATTATTTTAATTTATCCAATGCATTGTATGATTATTTTAGGCGTTTTAACCTATCCTGTAAATATACAGGCCATGCTCTTAAGAGACTTTTAAGCCAGAGGTGGACTGGTCATTTATATACAACTCGCATCATTTATGAGAATCTTGAGGCAACTGGTGAAGTATTATTTTACTTTTCTACTAGAACTTTTAATTCAAAGGTTTCCATTTATGATTTAGTCGACTGGTCTTTTATCTCAATGTGTTAATATTACGTTATATTCGCCATTATAATTTATGAGATATTAATAACAATAGATCCACTAAATAAGTACCTACAGTCAGTAGATACAAATATAATGGATGCTAAAAATTATATTGATTCCACGATCAATATATAAAAAATAAGAGAAGTGATAATTCTTTTGATTTGATTAGAATCAAGGTTGAAAAACTTTTACCCAAACTTCATACTCACTAGTAATAAGATGTTCCCTTTATATTGGGGATCCAATAAATTTTTTTCTTTTTCAAAAGTATCTTTAATTTATTTTCTTTGGGTAGAGAAATTATAAAATCATGGCATGATTGAATTATGTGTTTTCCAAAATTAACATCTCGTTTTTTTTACATGGGATAAAGTACATTTATACCTTTGCACTTACAACAATAAGATAGCTAAATGTTGATGAATAGTTTAAAATTATAAATTTTTCTTTCATAATATTTCTTCATTTAATATTCTATTGGTGATTCCTTTCGGACAAGTATCCAACTTCTTCAACAGCTGCTTTCAGAACTTTCTTCCATATTTATTTTGCTCTTACATTCTATTGACTTCTTCAACAGCTGCTTTCAGAGCTTTCTTGCATATTTTATATTTGCTTTTACATTCTATTGACGATGTTCTTTCTTGTCTGGATAATTGTAGATAATGTAATAAAAATTAGCAGAGTAAATTCCTCAAACCATATTTTAGCAAAATTACTATATTCATTTATATCAGAGACCTGCAGGCTTGGCCCGGGCCATATTTTAATTTTTTTTAAATATACCCGGACCGGGCCTGAAAATTTTTTTAAAAAAAATCCGGGTCAAGCCGTATATTGTAAAACCAAATATTTGAAATCGACATTATTAGCTTTAAAAATCAAAAACTATTATTTTAAAAAATCCGGGCCGGGCCTGAAATCTATTTTAAAAAAAGCCGGGCCGGACCTTTAAATATAGATACCCGGGCCGGGCCGTAAAAAATTTTTGAAAAAAATATGGTACCTCTGGAGGTCTCTAATTTATATATTGAGATTCAATCAAATTATTTATGAGAAAAATTCTTTTATTTTTATATTACAAAAAATGAAATTCTTTAATATGAAAATCTTGTATTTCATTATAAAATTATAAACTAAATCGATGCCTATAATCTATTCACCAATAATATTTTAGAGTATTTGATCTAGTCAAGTACTCCTTCGGTCATATGACAAAATTTTACCAGTCAATTGACCGACTTGCCAACCCTGATAAAAATATATTAATTTTTCTAAATGTCGTATTTTATAAATACCCCCAAAAAGCGTGTTTTTTTATAAAAATTTATTATACCAATATTTCGCAAAATCATATGGCAAGTTAAATTCTTCAAAAAGATTTAAAAAAATTATTCTTTTTACTTAAATGATTAATAAATTATGCTATGATATGCTAATTCAACAGATTTAAATATTTAAAAAATTATTAAAATCAATTTTAATTAAAGTATCCAATATGATACCTCAGGTCTTTATGCATACATTTTGTCTTATAGATTTTAATATTAGAGAGATAAGTGAATTATACGATTCTCGCTGATACAAATAATCGAAGGCGAAATTATTCGATTCTGAATATGCCAATCAATTATTATGGAGACATACTCATGGTTATGTTCAGGGAACCTCTACCATATGGGGGGGGGATGATAAATGTTGGTCATTGAAACAGGACGGGCTAAAGAAGTATTGTTTTTAATTTGGATTTTTTTTCTGCTAGTCTGAATTTTTTTATTTTATAGAAGTCCCTGACAATCTATATCCATCCAGTACACAAATAATATCCATAAAAACTATTTAAGTGTTTATATGGGTGTATATTATGAACTAAAAAGTAAAAGATATAAAATATCTCCTAACTTCAAAATTTTTTTTTGTTATAATGAATGATATACTTCTTTTTTAAAAAAAAATCAAATTAAAAGTTTATAGATTTCTCCACACATATTTTGTAATTATCTTGTGATTATACAAACCTAACATTATACATAAAGCTGGACAAAATGATGACAAAATTGCAGAAGAAGTTGAGTTGCGTCATCGAATTCAAAGTACCGGATGAGAATTTGATCGGCCGGATAACTGGTAGACTTATACACGAACCTAGTGGAAGAACTTATCACATCAAAAACAATCCGCCTAAAGTGCCTATGAAGGATGATGTATATATATTTTTTTTTATATAAAACGAAATGGTTTATAGTTTAAAAATTTATTTCCCTTTAAAAATTGGTTCGTAGAATTCTACTTTTTACCGGAAACGGAACCAGGTTTAGAGATCCAAACCGAACCGTTAAAAACGGGTATTTTTTATCAAACCTGAACCGAACCTAAACCGCTAAAATTTTTTGGCTGAACCTGAACCGAACCGCTAAAATGCCTCTGAACCGGTTCGAACCTCATGATTTTATTCTTATAAAATAATATGTAAGTTATTATTAGCATATTAAAAAAATTTCAATTATATTTGAATTATTTTAAAGATTATCATCAATCACAAGTGTCTGTCCTAATTTTTATAAATTTTAGTATATTGTCATTTTACAACATTTTTTAAATATTTCAAGCTTATAAATTATAATGCATAGAGAAAAATTAAATCCAATTACATATCAAATCTGATATCATATTGGCAGTGCCGGCTACCCAAGTCAGTGTGGAAAGATGCTTTTCAACAATTAAATTTATACTATCTCCTTATAATGTAATTTGAGTCAAACGAATTTTGAAATATATTAATTGTGAGGCTTAATAAAAAAAATTAAGTAAAAAAAAGTAAAATATTCATATTAAAATTAAACATTGATATTTATTTTTATATTTATAAATTAAATATTATTTTATAATGTGCAATTAATAAAAATGAAGGTTTTATACATGTGTTTTATAAATTAAATATTATTTTATAATGTGCAATTAATAAAAATGAAGGTTTTATACATGTGTTTTTTGAATTAATGATAAAATAAAAAAATATTTTCCCTATACATAATTCGAATGTAGGTTTGAATACAAAAGTGTAGTTTCTAGAGGTTCGAACCGAACCAATATTTTAATTTCTTACGAACCGAACCTGAACCGAACCGATATTCGTTTCGGTTTGGATCCCTGACCAGGTTGAATTTAATAACCCGAAACCTCGTAAAAAATTTTAATAACCGTTAATATTCTATTTTTTTAGTTAAACTTCCAAACTCGGATTTGCATTTATTTTTTATATTATCGCTACTTCCTCTTGTATCGCTTAAGGTAACGGGAGAACCCCTTATACAGAGGCCGGACGACAATGTTAAAGTTTTAGAAGAAAGGCTTAAAGTTTATCACAGTCAAACGAAGCCACTCATAGAGTTTTATTCGAACCCGGCTCACAAAGGGTTGTTGAAAGTTGTCATAGCTTCCAAACCTTTGGATCAAGTCTTCAAGGATGTCGAGGATATTTTAAAAAGCCTTCCTTGAAATGGAAATATTCGATATTCCGGCTCTATATTTTTTTGTTAGAAAAAATGCGATAATTATATTTATAAATGAAAGTTTTTGTGTCATTTTTGGAATTTGATTTTTTTTAAATTATAGAAAAATTGTCTAATTTGTTTTATTTATTGGATATTATAGAAGTATTTTTTTTCCTCTTCTTTCCGTATATCCTTTTAGTAAATTATCAAATAAAGTCTTTTAAAACATACCAATAAAAATAATAATTCAAAATTTGTTTACGTTATTTAGAAATTGAATGGTTTTTATTTTATTTACATTGTTTTGAGAAAAAAAAATTTCAATAATGTTTTAGAATTTTATAAAATTAAAAATAAATAATATATAAAGTTTCATTGATTTTAATCTATATTAAATTTTATTTATCTTTATATAATCCCTTAATCTGTCAATCTATTTACTTTAAATGGTGTCATTTTTGGATTATCGGAGATTAAGCTAAAAAGTGATACTTAAAAAACAAATTATATTGTTGTTTTAAATGTAATTAACTATCCTTTTTATATTTTATCATTATATATTTTCATTTACAATATTCACATTTTGGGTGATATATCCTCTTTCTTCATTCCCATCTAACCTGTATCAAATCGATAATTCAAAATAGTTTTAAATTTAAAGCTAGTAAGAAGAACAACTCTTTAGCACCGCGATCAATTTAACTCCCCAAGGAAAAGTGTAAAATAGTTCAATAAATATTTATTTATCTAAGAATTTTTTAAATAGGATTGAAGTTTTGTCCTTTTGTTCAAGAGTTGGGTTACCCTTATAGGAAAATCATAACGGTTCATCCCGGTTTTATCTTCTTTTTTTTCAAATAATCGCAATCACATGGCAACCATATTTTTTGACATTTAAAAGGTCAGATTGTTAATGAATGAATATCCTTCTTCGCCACTATTCCTATAATGGATCGAATAAAAATTTATTCGAATTCGAATCCTTTAAGCATATTGAATAATTTACTATCAGAAATTCATACCGAATGATAAAATTTACTTTTTTATTTGATTGACACGATCACGAATAATAAATATTCGATTTGTTTTAAATTAAAATTATTCGAAATTCATACCAAATGATAAAATTTACTTTTTTATTTGATTGACATGATCACGAATAATAAATATTCGATTCGTTTTAAATTAAAATTATTCGAAATTCATACCAAATGATAAAATTTACTTTTTTATTTGATTGACACGATCACGAATAATAAATATTCGATTCGTTTTAAAATTAAAATTATTCGAAATTCATACCAAATGATAAAATTTACTTTTTTTATTTGATTGACATGATCACGAATAATAAATATTCGATTCGTTTTAAGCAAATAATTTATTATTCGTATTTGTTTTTGTGTAACAACTAGCTATCTAACACGGAGATATATACAAGAATCATAAATCCAGATCATGAAGCTTTTGGAGATGAAGTAAACCTTTCAAAATATTTTGCTTTTTAACAAAAAAATTTTTTTAAAAACAAACCTTCAATATCAATAATATCGATGACAAAAAAAATAATTTTTTTAAAAAAAATCAATTTCTTTGTAAATTTGATCTCAAGGACCAGAAAATTAATTTTTTTTTACAACAAAAATAACAATATTTTATTTCATGGCATAATAAAATTTCTGTGATGTAATTTAATTTTTTATTATTCCCACGCATTTACGAAATTCAAATTTAAATCGGCGCCGGGGCAATTTAATCGAGTTTTATTATCTAGCTCGAATAGGCGGTATAGGGTAGAGCTCGTGGAACGTTTGAGGTATTCGGCGTCTCGCGCCATTTTCCAAGCATGGCCGCAAATTATCGTATCCAAATTGATATCCAGGCAAGATTTGTCGTTGTTGACCATCATGGTCTCGTCATGCCTAAATAAAATAATACAGTTTTAATTTTCGCGTAATAAATCTACTAGAAACACTTAGTAAGATTTTTTAAAAAAATCAATTTTTGTAATTTTTATAATTTGATATTATGATTATTTTATAGTATTTTTTTAATTATATATATATATGTTGGCATTAATATGTTTTTTCCCACAATGTGCTATTTTTTCAAATTTAAATTATTGTTTGAGCTCTTTTTTTAAATTTAAAAAATTCATTATATCGGAAATGTATTCTATCTATCATGTTTGGAATATCTATCCTATGAATTTCAAATAATTTTGTCATGTTTTCCATTGATTTTTCGTATAAATTGTAAATGGTTCAAAGGTTATCGGTAAAATTATCTACAATTCATAAGATAGGTATTCTAAACATGCTGGATTACATTTCAGGTAAAATCAAATTTTTAAATTTAAAAAAAAGCGCTAAAAAAATGATTTAAAGTTAAAAATAAATAACACATTGACAACTAACATATATATAAAAAAAATTGTTTTTTTGCTTTTATGTAGATGTGGAAAAAGAGTAGAAAAATAAATTCCGCAAATTAATAATAATTTTGAATTTAATATTAAAAAAAAATTTCGAGGTAATGTATTTTCTTTTATTCTTAATCGAGTATATATGTAAATTGTTTTAGATACGCACAATAGATACTAATAGATAACTAAGCAATTTATTTGTATAAAAACATGAAATAATAAAGTATCGATGTTTAATTAAATGACAGTTTTGTAGTTTGCAATTTACATTGTTTTTTCATATACGTCCATCATTTAAGACTAGTGCTGTTAAACGGCTCATTTTAGGTCGACTTTTAAAAACAGCAAACTCAATATTTTATTAAGATAATTATTATACAAGCCTTAAGATTTTGCGCATAGGTGGAGGAACAAAGGTTTGAACATCTATTAACGAAATCTCAAGGCTTATACAATAATTTTCTGGCTAAAATATTGAGTTAGCCGTTTTTAAAACTCAACAACACTATTTAAGACATTAAGAGCATTGTTATTTTTCTGGGATCTGATTGAATAAAAGATATATTATGAGATTTAACTTTTATCATTACAATATTGTTTATTCAAATAAAACTACTAAATTTGAGACTTTTATAAATTAATCTTTTTTTGTATTGAAGGGTATACCACAGTCGCGGAAAAATTTTTAAGCTTTAATAAATTACTTACCATTGTTTAAATATTAAGCGAGAAAATTTCTTTGCTATGACTTAGCATAAAAGGGCCCCTTTAACACGTTATCATTAAGGACATAGACAAAAAACGACTCTACATATGTTTTAATGAATGAATGTTCTTAAGAATACATTTTATTGTATACTGAAATTATTGGTATAAATTTTGTATATTTTTAAGGATTTCATGGTAGGGTTTAGCAATTTAAATTTTTTTTTTTGTGAATTAAAATAAAAAAACGATATTAAGGAAATGTTTTTATTTCACGAAAATTAGTTGTTTTTTTAAATCTAAAAATATTCATTATCAGATTGTTTTTAAAGACTAATTCATTTTCTAATCACAGCTTTTTCCAAAGTAGTGTATTGTGCAAACAAAAATAAAATAAATACTTTGACAATGATTTGATTGGTGTTGGCATGTATGGTGATTCTCTTATAGTTGGAGGGATGCATATTTTTTTAAACATGTTTGTCGATTTTGTCAAATTCAAAGCTCGAAAATTAGTACCAACTTTTTTTTTTATCACGGCGTCGATTAAATCAGATATTTTGTCAGTGGTAGAATGCATTGAAATATTGAGGTTGTTGACGGGTAATGAGTTGTCCTCCTTCATAATATCCATGTACTTGATAAAATTATGGGAAGATTTTGGGTTAGAATGAATGGCTGTTTTATTGGCCAGTGATAGGGGATTTTCGACCTTGCTACGTTTGACGGGAATGGGTTGTTCAGCGCCTCGCAATGTTTTGCTTGATTTGGTAGATAAATCTAGAGGAATAACCTTAAGTCGAGCGGGGCTTATATTGCTTATATCGGTAACGTCGGAATCGTAATCATCCTCTTCTCTCATACTATCTCCCATTATTTTCTCTGATGAATTTAACATTTTTATATTGCGAATTTGAAATCCAATATTTTATTTAATCTTGATTATAAGTATATGCGACGAAAATAATATAGGAAAAGGGTATATAATAATTCTAATTTTATCTATTCTCTTCAGACCATAAAATTCAAGGTCAGAGAAAAAATTTGCCAATTTTAGCAACTTGGAATTAGGTATAATGTTTGCAATATAATAACCAGGGATGAAAAAAATTCGCTTTTAGCCGAAGAAGATCAAATGGGGAAAAAAATTAAAATTTCTTATGGAAATTATTTTTTTTGCAAATATGTTATTATCGTAATTATTTAATACTTACTTTTTAGAATTTTTTTTCCTTTAAATTCTGTTAAAATTATATTTAAGCTTGTTTTTCTATTTTGCAATATTTAAAAAATATCAATTCAAGTTAACCGCAAAAAAATACAAATTTTTCATTTTTGGTTTGACATAAAAATCGTTAAAAATAAGAAGATTTAAGTTTTGGTTTCTTTATGAATATATATTTTATAAACAAAAGTCTATCAACGAAGTTCACTTACAACTGATTGAATTAGGATATTAATTGAAATAATTTAATCCAAAATATGGTACAGACGATTTTAATAAATACAGACGATTTTATATAAAAAAAAGGGCTACGTTTACAAAACGCGAAATAAATTAATATTTTTTTTAACTTAAATAAACTTTCATTTATTAGTTATATAATATCTCGTAGGGCCGTTGACAGATTAACCCTTCATTGAATAGGGACTATGCAGAGACTCAAGTCATTTTAAAAACGTTATTAATTAGAATTCTTTCGATGTTTTTGCCTGAATCTTACATTTTTAGATAAAGTCAACAGTAGTTCAAAATTTAGAAGGTGTTTTGTAGCTTGGGGTCTCATAGACTCTACCTGTTCATCCAAATACTTTTTTATATATCATTTTTATTAATTAAAAGTTATTTTATATTAATATTTGAACCTTAGATAAACATCTCTACATCGGCAATTTTATTTATATCTTTTTTTTTTTAATATTACATTGTGACATTTTAAAATAATTTGTCACTTTTTTTGACACTCTTGTTAAAAGCTGTCATATAAATGATAAAATAACATTTATATTAATAAAATAACAGTTAAAATTATTAACTTATAGTTTAATATATTTTTAAAATACGTAAGCCACAAATTAATTTGATTTTAGTATATAGTATTTTTAAATTGGGGTCTGAGGGTATTTTACCTATTCACTTGAAAGATTTTCTTTCATCTGTGCAATGAAGGGCTGATGAAGGATTTCGCTCAACCCGAAATTTAATATATTATATTTATATAAGGCTAGGTCCAAACCAATGATATACAATAATACCTAAACTGACGATTTATTCATAATGCATTTGAAAGCGTCGTTGAATGCAAATCAGCTGGACCCGCCATTTTGGTATCTCATGATAAAAACTATAATTAAATTGATAACTTGCTTCCTTGTTATCTCGATGATCAGGTAATTCTTTAATAAAGTATGCGTCAGACAGAACAATAAATTGGCCTCTCGTTTATAATTTTTAATAATGATATGGGTAACAAACAGGCGTCCCGTCCCCAGCTGTTTTCATTGAAGTACACTTTTAATGAATGCATTGTCAGTCTAGATATTATTATATGGCATTGATCCAAATATTTACCTTTTTTGAAACTAATAATGTGTTAAGACATGACTGTCTATTTAGACGTAACGGTAGATAAATAAAAAATAGCTTTCATTATTTTATTCTAAGCCAAAGCGAGCCTTTTTGTGTAAAATTAAATAAATTAAAATAAAATAAAATAAATCTAAGCCAATATGTTTTTTCAAATCGAAAAAGTTACAATGCTCTACATAGGGTTCCTATAAAATTCTAGGTTGTATCAAGATTAATAAATTTGATTGGTGACACATCTAGAATTTCGATTCTAGAAGGAGGGAATTTTCATATCAAACCCATGATTAGGGGTCGGGGGGGGGGGGGTGAAACAATGTACACGTCACAGATCACATTGTTTTATTTAAATATCAAAATTATGAGGAAAATTCGGTTACATCACGGATAATTATGACATGTAATAAACGTGTATCAAAAATATAATATCTCTATAATAAGCATCCCATGATTTAAATATCAAATGAAGTTTGGAAACTACTTTATCGTTTAGGCATTTTATTTTTACATTAAAAATAGCTTAAGTTATTTATTTTTTTTCTTCAAAATTAATAAGGTTCTTTATTTCTATTTTTATTTATATTTAGTACACAAACCTAGCATCATTTTATATCATTATAACATGATAATATATTATTAGAGGGAGGAATTAGTATCCGGAATTTCATTTTGAGCCTCATTCAGTAGCGGCTACCTTAAATCCCATGTGTGATCAGGTCATGCCTTTGGCTAAATATATAGTATGCGTAATATCCAAAAATCATCCAAAATATAAGCATTTTCGACGGTTTTGGTTTAAACAAAATTTTTAACTTACACTTTATGTAAAAAAGTGTCCTGAAATATAAAATATAGGTTTTTATGTTAGCATGCGAGTTTAAACTCTTAATCGAACTACGTGTCAATACCAAGAGCTTTATTTGCCATTTTATTTGATTTAGCAATGATATATAAGTTTACAGACCCCATGGGTTGGTTATGGACTTAATATTATATTTTCTAGCGTGGCTGAAAATATTCAAATTTTTTTCTTCTAATATTCCAATTTTTTTCTTCTAATAGTAGTAAATTTCAGTAGTGCAAACACTGAAATATTATTTAATTTCGTTAAAAACAATAAATTAAACTTTTGGGCTCGGTCCGGGCTTGGGAAAATTTTCCGAAACTTATGACGTGCTTTGGGAATTATATTTAAATATTAAATATATGAGGTCTGATGTAGAGGTTCTGTCGAAGCCTTTTATAAAACAGGATTCAGTATCGCAACATAAATATTTCTAGAATCATCGAGTAAAATCTGACCTCAATTTATAACTATAACTTTATCAATTCCTTAATGTAAAATTCCCAGCTTTTGTACCAATTTATAGGGGTTATATCGATAAATATTATTACGCCTTCCTCTGTCATGAAGCATTTTGACGAATTTTTTTTTTATAACTTATGAGACATTTTGGCATATACTTTCATGAACCTTAATTTTTTGGTCAAGCTTGGCCTAAACACCAAAAAATATTCTTAGGTCCAGGCCCTGCTGGTTCGAGTTTAAAAAAATAATTTTTAGCCATAATAACGATTTCTTTCCTTTTTTACTATTTTCGGGTTGGGTCGAAAAAAATTAGCCTTCTTCTGCACGGGACACGTGACGTGCCCTAAAAAAATTCTTAAAATTCCTTTCCTAGGAAAATTCTCAAATTGATCAAAAATCAAATCCTTTTTTTTAAAAAAAAAAAAAGATGACTGGGAAAAAAAAATATTTATATGAAAATTAATGGGGAAAGAAAAACCGCGAAGATTTATCCGTCTTTCATTTTTTTCCGTCGCAAGGCGTGACATACACACCTCAACAAAAAAAAAACTCTTCATAATACTACACCTTAACAAGAAGGAATGATTAAAATTATCTATTTTGTTTATTCAAAGACCTAAAAACCTCGTAACTTATATTGATTCGTGTTTAGAAGCTAATAAATATGTTTATTTTTTTATATTTTAAACATGGCTTTATTTTGAAAATAAATTAATTATCTTATATTTTATAAAAATCATTTTTTGATTATATTACTATATATATAAATATATATTATGTCATCAAAAGATATTCACAATTAATATTTTCTTTTGATTACGTTATGAATTATCTAAAAAAAATATGCAAATAATTAATATTTAAAATAGAATAAATTAAAAAATTATAATACCATTTAGTTAAAATAGAAAAAAATTAGTTTTTGTACCACTAAACAAACCTAATTATACAATATAGTTAGATATTTATTTAATGCAATTATTAAGTCGCTTATATTTTATAAAATACACAATTTTTTCAAATTTGCATAATTTTTTTCTTTCTTTTTCAAATTTATATAAAGTATTAAGGAATATTTGAAATTCTTGAATTTTTTTTTTCTACGTAAGAATATATATATAAAAAACGATTATATTTAAAACTTATGATTAGGAGGTTTAAAAATCTAAAAAGAGATGAAGAGAAGAGAAGAGACGAGAAGAAAGAAAGAAAGAAAGATGCTTCCTTTTCCAAAGTATTCATCGATTCCAATTTATTTATGTATCTTGATATACTAACTTTTTATAAAAAAAATATATGTAGTTAAGATACAAATACAAAATTTGTGCATAGAGATGGAAAATTCTATGAGGTTGGGAAATAGGCAGGATATCTATCTGCAGTATTTGTCTAGAATTAGAGGCAGCTGTTATGTAAAAAGCATAGTTTATTCTTTAGACCCAACCTATCAGTACTATATACAAGTAAGCAGTGTTTATGAACAAAACGAAGGTGGATTGGAGCAAACTAATCTCGAGATATCTTTAGGAAATGGTAGGGCTTTAAAGGTGATAGCGATTTTAAAAAAATATTATTTATTTTGTTGTAACTTTACAACAAAGGAAAATAAGTGATATTTTCTTTAAGAAAAAGTTTCCTTTTTCACATTTTTATTTTTTTAGAAAAGCTTATAAGCTGCATTCCTCGTTCGACTTTATTACTAAAGGGCCAGCTGTTTATACGGCTATATAGCTTCCACTAAACAAAGAGAAAAATACAAAAAAATAAAACGAAAATAAGGAATGCATGCCACGGGTCTGAACAACTGATCTGTGTTTAAGGTTCGTGCTCAGAGCTGGTTTAGTCGATTTTTAGACCTAAATTCCGGGTCTGGGTTTTGCACAACCTATCAATTAACAACACTATACCAAATACTTAAAAACTTAAAATAGGGTGTTCAAAGACTGTTTAGCCTAGGCTAAACAGTAATAAGTATTTAAAAATAAACCAGGACACCGCCATAGCACTCTGAAAATGTCTTAGATTTTCTGTTCCATCACTTTGAAAATATCTTGGATTTTCTGTTCCATCACTTCGAAAATGTTTTGGATTTTCTGCTCCGTATATCACTCATCTTTCTTTCTTTTCTAAGGCCAAATTTCAAACCTATGATTTTGTATAATTGTGTAATCATATTGAAATGTATAATTATTAATATGAATAGTAAACGTAATAAAAGAGATATATATATGATGTATATGTTATCGTTAATGGGTTTTTCCCGACAAATTGTTATTTTTTTAACTTTAAATCATTTTTTTAGCACGTTTTTTTTAAATTTAAAAATTTGATTCTATTAGAAATGTTTTCTATCATGTTTGGAATGCCTACTACCCTATGATAATTCAGGCAATTTCGCTATGAACTTTAGAACTTAATATAATTTACGTTAGTTTTTCCATAGGTTTTTTTTATAAATTATAAACTATTAATTACTCAATGGTGGTTAACGTCAAAATTTTCTAAAATCGTAAGATAGGTATTCCAAACATGCTGAAATGTATTTCCGGAAAAATCCGATTTTTAAATTTTTAGAAAAAAAAACACATTGACACTTTAACATATACAAATAATTAAAATTAATACTTTTTATTATTTTTGTTTAATTTTATTTTAATTTTATAAAAATGGAAAAATTATGTAAAGTAATTATAAATAATTTAAAAAAATATATATTATTCATTAAAATAGTTGAATTTGTTTTTGTGTTGTCGTCGTAAAAAATATTATTACGATTATTGACAATTTGTTTTAACGAAATTATGTTAATTATATCATCCCTCGCGGAAAATTAAAAAAAAAATATATATATTTTTCTTCTAATTTCAATTAAACCACATTCATTTTAAATAGCATAAAACAAACAAAATTAAAATAAAAATAAAAATATGATAATTAGGGATAAACGTTAATTTTATCAAAGAAGTCACTTTTATCGAAATACCTCTCTTTATCTTATGTCGAGAAACAGTTGAATTTCATTCTCAAATCTTTTATAAATTATATAATCGCTATGCTAATAATATATTTTATTAAACTTTTATATGAAAAATATAAAAATTTATAAAAACCAATTTTTAAAATCTTCATTATTTATCATTTAAAAGAAGAAGAAAAATCGCCATATTTATTGAGTATTTTCCCTTCATAAGTGATTTCCTTCTCCCATCTACCTTTTCTCCACACTTCACTTTAACGACTAACAAGGCGTCCATCAAATATTCATATCCGAGGAATGAGGAATGATAATTTAGGAATAACGGAGAAATTCTATTAATTTTACGAGATCATATGGACACATCGGTTGGATAAAAGTTTTTGTTTTACGGGGCTTTTCTCCTCAAAAAATAAAAGTCTTTCCCACTCCCCAAAACATTATCTTTGACATAACTTCGTCATAAAAAAAAGGCAAAAAATATGGATTTATTTCTTAAAAAAGTTGTCGCTGGCCATGCTTGATTCAGGAATCAGCATTTACGCAAGATGCCAATCGCGTATGCGTCACTTCTGACCCTATCAAGACTCGTATCGATTATCATCATACACATCATCTTGGTTTAGTAAATTTTTAAATACATAATATTATAGGGTAGGATATACCGAAAGGGCAGAGGTCTGTAATGGACCGGTTTTAATTTACCCACCTTTTTAAATACCCGACCCATAAAGGCCAAATTATTTTTTTTTTTAAATTGTTTAGCACACCCTCCCTTCTTCTAAGTTATTTGGTTGGGTTGAATTCTTTTAATTATTATATTTTAATATATATATATATTTCACATAAACATATAAAAAAATATACTTTTTTAAATAAACATAACTCCGTTTTCCTCATTTTTTTCCCCTTTAAATTATTTTAAATTCATCCACCCCCCCCCCCCCCCAAAATATTTCCTGCCATAGTGTAGGCGGTTATGGTGCCGGCGGGGTTAAACTAACCGGTTTACAGACCTCTAACTGGTTTTTACTGAAATCTGTAAAAATTTAATTGACATAGCTGACAAATGTTCTTTTTTTTTTAAAGACATTATTTTGCCGCATTTGATTCCAGTATTATATAAGATGAATTATGTCCAGAAATGTTGGGTTAATTTTGATTAGAATTTATATTTAAAAAAAGATTAGAAAATTGATTTAAAATGGGTGGGCTTTGTCTTATAACCAATGCCTCTATAAAAATTTCGCCTACGACCATTTCGCCTAGATCTAAAATATGAGATTGCAATATGAAATACTTGCTCATTTATTACAAAAATTTGAAGTATCTGCTATTATATTGTATTTTTTTTCACATAGGTAGTGTTGTTAAATGGCACGTTTTGAGCCGATTTTTAAAAACGGCTAACTCAAAATTTTAGCCAGAATGTTATTGCCAAAGGCTCGAGATTTCGATAATGTATGTCTAGTCTAAACCTTTGTTCCTTCTAAGAACATTTGTTTGCGCCATATTCTTATGGATGAAATTAACACTACTTTTATAGGCATATTTATTTAGTATTTTTGGTCATTTACTATCAAATTTTTCCAATCTATAATTATTATTTGCTCAGTTATCATATAAATTTAGTATTTGCTTATTAAATTTGGGTCATTTTAGCACTTTTAGGCAAAACTGCATTTTTTTTAAAAATTGCTTAGTAATTTTTGTTCATTTTCTTATTTCCATTTTACAATTTTGCTATTACATTTTCTCATTTATTATTTGGATTGAAGTATTTGCTTATTAAATTAAGTCCTTTAACACTTTTTAGGTAAAACGACTTTTTTTGCTAATTTGCTAGTACTTTTGCTCATTTACACTATTAAATTTTATAATTCGACTAAATAGAATTGGTTATTAATTATATAATTTGGGTATTAATTATATAATTTGGGTATTAATTATGTAATTTGGGTATTAATTATATAATTTGGGTATTAGCTATTCAATTTGCTATTTTTTTGGCACTTTTTAGGCGAAAATGGTTATATGTTAAACATCGGTACACCGGAATTTTAACGGGTGATGCGCCATAAAATATCCTTGCCTTAGTGTTGTTTAATGGTCTGATTTGGTTCGATGTTTAAAAACGACTCGATTACGATTTTTAGCCATAATAATATTACATATAGTGTTGTTAAACGGCTCTTTAAAACGGCTAACTTAATATTTTAGACAGAAAAATATTGCCCTAAACATTGAGGATTTCGAGAATATATGCCTATACCTTTGTTCCTTCTATGAGCAAAATCTTCAGGCTTGCGTAATATTATTCTGGATAAAATACTGAGTTACGAATCGGCTCAAAACTAGCGGTTTAACAGCACTACTTATGACTACACCCGCACAATGACGCTAGCCATAAATAAATATTCTAAATAAACGATCTTAAAATAAAACGCAAAAGTGATGTTTTTAAATAAAAAAAAATATATGAATCAAGATTTTGAAAATATTTATATAATTTTAAATATCAAAAGTTTAAGTTCATTTTGAATAAGGTATATAATAATTATTTTTATTATGATAACCTTTATCGGGGATAATTATTGAGCGTGTTAGTGTTTCACTAAATATTGCACTTTCTTCCCCCGGGGAAAATAAATAAAATGATAGAATAATATTATGTATATATATATATAAATAAATCTTTTTAAATAAGTGAAAACTTAGTTTTACGTTATTAACTGGTCTCGAAGAAGAGAGAATGAAGCAGAAGGAGAAAAGAAAAATAAATATTTTTGCATCGAACTGACCAATTTAGACCTTTCCTGGACCGATGCAAATTTTGATACTTAATTGCTTTTTAGTATAAGCTAATAAACTGAGTCACCCTTTTATGGTTCGGGTTTTTAGTCCGACCTGAGGAACCACGGATTTTAACCTTATAAAATAAGTATTTTTTTTAAAATTATTATTATTTCAAATTCTTAAGTTTAAGATAAATCTGATCAAGGCGCAACTTTTTCGGGATCAAATAGTAATCCCAACTTTTCCCCTTAGCAACATGAAGGATCTCAGTCAAACGTCAAATAGGATAGATCAAGAAGAAACGGAAGTGGCGGAGACGGAAAAAAAACTTAGAAGAGAGGTCATAAAATACATTAATGATAATTATAATAAACTCGTGGTGGGCGATATCTTCCCCCCTTATTCAACGCCATCCGACACGAACCCTCCCGAAGTGTCGACGACTTTAGAAAACTATTACAAATATGATAAATTTATGTATTCCTCCATGAGACATTATTGGAAAGCTTATCTCCAGATGATGAAAGAGAGGTCTTCTAGTGACTTGAGTAGCAGATTATTAAGTAAAAACTTTACTATTATTAATAAATGAAATCCTAAAATATCAGGGCTTGGGATTATAGGAAATTTGCTTGGATTATACCTTGGAAAGTGATAATTTAATGAACTCCCAATAAGGTTAATTGAAATTTACTGAGGTTTTTAGCAACATTTATCGCATGGATTTAAAGCTACAAATTAAATTTTTGAAAGCATCACCACTATATCAGCAACTTACAATTCCAAAACAATTGGCTTCTTCCCTTTTCTATCAACGAGGAACACAGATTATTGATAGGGAGGAGAAAGATGATCAAGTCAAGGATGAATTTGCCACATTCGACAATTATCCTCAAGAAACGCAAGATCGCCTGAAGGACTTCGAGTCACTCAAGATTGTGCATAGATACCACCACATATCTTTACCCTATGACGCTTCTACCCTAGGTTTGGAATTCCTCATATTTTATATCTTGTTTTGTTTTTTAAACTTTTATCAATATACTCGAAACCAAAAAAAATATATCGAGAAAGTTAGCTATTTTTTTATAGCCATCCGAATTCGACGGTTATTCTTAGAAGGTAGCAGCGGTTTGAGCCGAACCGCAAGACCGGAACGAACCGTTATAATTTTCCGAACTGTAACCGAACCGTTAATAGGGAAATATAAAGCGAACTAAACTGTTATAAATATTTTGAACCGGTTTAAACCGGTTCATAGCGGTTTTTAAAAATAATTACTTTAAAATTATTAACCTGAATTTGAAATTTCAATTTTCCTTGGGGAAAAATTTAAATTCGTGATTTCTACTAAATTTATTTTGTACACTTAAATCGCATTATCTTCATATCAATCAATACCAAGTTTATTGTTTTTTACTTTTATATACCCAATTTAATAGAAATTAGGCAAATTACTAGTTAATTAGATAAGAAATAATATTCATGGTTAAATTAAATAAGGAATTATAAAAATATTAATTAATAAGATTTATTCTGAGATTAATATATACATATATACATTATGGGTTATGATTAATTCTCTTTTTAAAAATCCAATTTACAAAAACCAGAACCAACCGATCTAAACCTAACCGAACTGATAAATTTTAAACTAAAAACCGAAATGAACCAAATCTCTGTATAACGGTTCGAAGCCCTGATAGGTAGGAATATATTATTACGTTTTCTAAACATTTTACATTTTTATTTATTCATTTATATAGTTTGCCATAGATGCTCCGAAAGCATGGCACTCCCCAACACCATATGCGGTACTGTAGGGGGCATTATTTGTCCCAAAGACTATTTTTGTGATATTAGATACGATCCTGGCTTCAAGATTCAAGACGGTTACGGATGTTGTTGCCCTTTTCCTCAACGAGGTAAATATAAAGTGGGGGGAAAAAAATATTCGTTCTCCCCGAAGTCTGGGATTTTTGACCTCATTTTGAGGAATATGCTAATATTTCTTGTCAAGAGAAGCGTTCATCTTATACATTGATCAGAACTTTTCCAACCTCTCTCAGAGATTAATTTAAAAATTACATGCCGATCTTCTAGAAGATTGACTTACTTCTTACATAAATCGATTTATTTCTCCTCTCTGAAGCTTATAAATTTTATTCATTTATTTTAGTGAATCAAGCAAAAAAAATGTGTTTTTTAGAGTCAAAATAAATATATTTTCTTTACAATATTTAAGTTCAATCCACCACAATCCTCTAGTGTCACATTACCGCAATCTACGATTAGCACCTCCGCAAGCACGTTGCCTTCGATTACTACGACGGCCATATCATTGCCCCCTGTTATAGTTAGGTTCGACGGGGTAATCTTCTGCCCATCTCCCGGCACGGAATTACCCAACTGTTTCCCTTGCATCAATATACTCCTCTGCGAAAATGGCGTGACGTTCATTATATGCCGTACCTTTAATTGCATGTTTCAATGTTACGGAATTTACATAGACCCCTTTACCTCCATGAGGATAGGATGTACCCAGCAACCCGTTGATTTCGGATAAGATGATGATACCTCAAATATACTTCTTTTTTTCAACCCTAGTAAGTGACCATGCCACCATCCACAATCCCACCCCACTCTCATAATTCTTAAAAAAATACATTTGCCATAATTGCAAATTCCTAATTTAAAAAAAATACATATAGATTTACACCAAAATTGGTTGTTTAAAAGCTCGCTATTAGAATTTTCTGAGCGCTTTTTTGGGCGGAGATTTTTTTAAGCGGTTATCAGCTGTAATAAATATAATTATAATACAAATAAATTGTAATCGATATATATATATCTCTAAAATGTAACTCGTTACTTTAAAAAAAAAAGTACTAAATATATTATATATTATATATAAATATTCTTATTTATTTATTTATTTTATTAAATATATATAATAAAAAATAAAAATTATATACAAAAATTAATAATATATTATATAAGATTAGTTTCTTTTTTATAATAATTTTTTAAACAAACAAATGATTTTCAAAAATTTTACTGCTCGTTTTGAGCCGATTAAAAACGGCTAACTCAATATTTCAGCCAGAAAAATTTTGCCTAAACCTCTAGATTTCGATAATATATGTCTAGCTAGACCTTTGTTCAGTATTCTTTCTTAATTTTTATTTAGCTTTAACCCTTTCCCTTTTTGTTTTTATGTCTTGTTATTTTTTATAATTAAGTTGAAGCATGCTATAAAGTATGATAGTAAAATTATTTTATTTATGTTTGCATAAATTCTGATTATTATTTTCACTTCTTTCTATTCCAATCTATTCTTCAATAGTAATCTAAATCATGCTTATACTAAAATTATACAATGAAATTTATTTTTTAATATAATATGAACCCTCATTACTGTGACCTCTCCTGACTAAAGTATTCCATATAACGAAAAATATTCTGATTTTCAGAGTTGTTAAAGTAGCGCGCTATCTTTTTTGGTAGCTATAGCTAATACCCGCTACTTTTTTTAAATTATTTAATTTTTTAGCGCGCTACTTTTTTTAGTAGCGCGCTACTTCGCTACTTTTAAAAAATATAATGAATGTAAGTATAAACATGAAAATTTAAATATAATATCATAATTAATTATAATTTTTATTATTTAATTTTGAAATTTAAATATATTTTCAATTTTTAATTTATATTTTCAATCTGTGTTAATAATCTAAAATGGCATCGTCCATGGATATCCAAATCCTTGAAAGTGATTCAGATATGGAAGATTCAATGGAAGAAAATGTACTTAATAGCTCTAATAACGTTTTTCAATTCCCTAAATTTGAAAAATTTTTTAAAATAAATATTAAAACAAAATCTGGATTCAAATTCCTGTGCTTAAAATGTAAAAAAAATATATCATCAAATCAATCGAGTAGCTATAACCTGAAAAAACACCTAAAGGTAAATTGTTATTTTTACATTATAATATTATTTATTTTATTAGACTGTTCACGCCAATTGCTATAAGGAAATAGAGAAACATATAAAAAATTTTGGTATAAGAGAATCTTCATTCAAAAAGACAAATACTATCCAAACCAAATTAACTGATAATAAACATGCCAATATTTCACAAAAATTGGCTGATAAAGTTATTGTTGATTTTATTATTGACACAGTTCAGCCAGTGTCTTTGGTTGATAATCCATCATTTACTCTGATGATTAAAACTTTATCCCCTGGCACAACAGTTTTATGTCGCCAGACACTTATGAATAAAATAGCCGACAACTTCAAAGTGATGAAAGATGCTCTAATAGTAGAGTTATCAGATATATCTTATGTATGTACCACGGCAGATAGTTGGACACATAACAGAAGGTAAAAACTTATTTATATTTATAAATTAATCTGATTAAATATTTTTAGAGCTTATTTGGGAATCACAGGCCATTGGTTAGACCCTCCTTTAAAAAGAAGATCTGTAGCCTTAGCCCTTAAAAGGATTATAGGATGCCAGACATATGACGTACTTGCAAATAAAATTATTGACATCCACAAGTCTTTTAGGATTCATAATAAAGTTTGCAAGATGGTTACTGATAATGGGTCTAACTACTTGAAGGCATTTAGGTTATATCACAAATTTATTTATAATATTTATTTTAAGTTATGATTTTTATCAGAATGGAATGGTTATTATTTAATCTATAAAATATTTAGTATTTTAATATTTCACATTATTTATAGAATTTTTATTAACTAAATACACACATATTTTAGTAATATTATGATTATCATAATTTATATCAAATTATAAATAAAATTAGTGAAATTAACTAATAAAATATAAAACAGAGGTGGATTATTTCATTAATATTGAGCTAATCTAACATTTAATAAGATATGGTTATTGACAGAGTTGGGCAGGTCCTCCAGAAAAAGAATCTAGATACAGATACAGATTCTTTTAAAAAAAATGAATCTTAGATACAGATACTAGTATCTTTTTCAAATAATCAAAAAGATACAAGATAAAAGATTCTTGTATCTTTTACTAAATTAGAGTAACTTAAATACAAGATACTTTTAAATTATCATTACCAATTAAATTAGAATAGTTTATAAAATACAGTTTTTATTATTTATTTGTGAAGAACATAGCATACACATATAAGAATGAATATTTGCAATAATTAATAAAATATTTATTGATGAATTAATTATAATAACCAGGGATTAATAATATTAATTTTTGCCCTTTAATAGCTTAAACAGGGAAGGGAGTATATAGTATATAAATATAAATATCATTTAAATCTTTTTTCATATTTTTTTTATATATTTCTTGCAAAATTATTAATTATATATAAAAATATGAAAATAATGTACAACATTATATTATTTAATTGTTAATTACATAGCAATTTTCTCTAATTCATTTTTAATTAAATTCCGTAAATAAATACTGCAATGTAATTTTATTTATATCATAAATAAATAAAAGTAACTAATAAAGTTAAATTCTACCTTATTTATTTTATTAAGAGCCTTTTAAAATTATCTAATATTATATATCAATTGTAGCTTAAATATTTCCTTTAATAAGAACTTGCTAAAATAATTAAATATAAAATATATTATAGAGTACAGGGAATTCATTCAATGTATTCATTTGATAAAATATTTTTGCTTAGTTACATTATAATTCCTGAGGTTCAAAATTTAAAATATTAAGAAATGATTTTTCCACTCTATTTTTGATAAATATTACTAGACATTTCTATTAAAATTGGATGAATAATTTAATTTGTCCTATTTAATATATATATAGAATATTTGGTGAGGATAATGCTGAAGATGAGATACAGAATGATAGTCAACATGTATTGGAAGAGGAGGAAATAGGTGTTGATGCCAATGATATTAATGAGATCTTAAAAGAAGGTTTAAATTATTTTATAATACATGTTAATCTAATCAATATTCTATAGGATCTTCTACTAACTCCACAATGTTACCCAGCCATCATAGATGCTCCTGTCATAATTTAAATTTGATAGCAACAGTAGATGCTGAAGGAGCTTTAAATGATGAAGATTTTAAAAGGGTGTCAAGATCGACATTTTATAAATGTCAAACTTTATGGAATAAGCAGAACAAATCTCCTAAAAGTTCTGACATGTTTAAAAAAAAATTATTAGGGAGGTATTTATTAACCCCTAATCGTACAAGATGGAATTCTGTTTACCAAGCAATAAAACTAATAGCTTTATTTCTGGAGGAAAGAAGATTAGAGATTAATTATCTCTGTGATCTTGTTGAAATTGAATATATTAACGATGAAGAGCATACTTTTATAAAAGAGTATACAGAAGTAATTCTAATTAATAATGATTCATTTCCATATCATTTTAATTTTTTAGGTTATGCAATATGTTGCTGTTTCCCTTGAAATTTTGGAAGGTGAGGATAATATGGAGATGGGGTATTATGTTCCCACTTTAAGTATCCTAAATACCAAATTAAAGAGATTGAATAATCTAATCTTATGCCAGCCCCTAGTAGACTCTCTGTTAAAAGGCATTGAGAGAAGGTAAATAAAATTTATATTGTTTTGATTTTGACTGAAGATTTATTCTAACTTAATGTTTAAAGCTAAAAAATTTATAAAATTTTATGATTAAGATATATTTAAAATACTCTATTTTTGTAACTTTTAGATTCCCAAACTTATACAATGATGACAATGTCTTAGCAGCAATGGTTCATCCAAAGTTTAAACTAAACTGGCCATATATAAATTCCGATGATGCCAAACATCAACGCGATAGGCTAATGGCGAAGCTGAATAATCTTACTCCAACAAACAAAGATTGCCGAGTATCTACCACGAAGACATCCTCAAATAATTTTTTTGAAATTAAAGATGATTTAATAGAAAATCCAATTGATCTTTTTTTTCAATCAAAAAATATTGAAATGAATATTTTTGATAATTTTTCATATATTAAAAATTTATATATAAAATTTAATACACCCTTGCCCTCAAGTGCTAGTGTTGAGAGATTATTTAGTAAAGCAAAGCTTATACTTTCTGATCGTCGCTCTAGACTTGGGGATGATAATATTGAAATGATATTATTATTAAAATGCAACAAATTAAAATAAATATTTATTTATATTGCTTATTTTTTATAATCGAAACTAACTATATTTTTATATTTATAAATGTTGATTTTTATATATTATTTATTATACATTTACATTATAAGCAAAAAAAATAAAAAAAAATTGTTTCATTTGTTTCTAAATTTTATTTATAAAAAGTAGCTAATAGCGCGCTACTTTTTTTGACAAATAGCGAAAGCGGTAGCGCGCTACTTTTTTTGACAAATAGCTATTACGGTAGCGCGCTACTTTTAAAAATAGCGTTTAACAACTCTGCTGATTTTAAGCTTCGTAGATTGATTGTAAATAAATTAATTAGGCTTGATTAGACGGAAATGATAAATTTTAAAATCATAAATTTATTTGATATAATTTTTCCCATTTAACAATCTAATAATATAGTTTAATATAATTTTTCCCGCTATAAATCCAATATTGTAAATCTAATAATATAGTTTAATATAATTTTTCCCGCTATCAATCTAATATTGCCACAATGAATTTTATTTTTTTTAAAATCAAATATAATATAATTTAATTGTCCCAAAATTTTAAGCCATGTATAGCTTTTTTAACATGGTTTGCAATTGTAGTTGTATGGATAATCACATACTTGGATATTAGGATTAAAGATGGTGCCAGGTGCGCATGGCATAACAACTTGATTTGCTCCAGGCTGACAATTAACATATTTGCTTTTTGAAAAATAAATAGAAATTTAAAAATAATAACAATATTATTTATTTTGTTAGATTCTGCGAAATTATAAGCAATTACTGTAATATAATTATAAAATAGTAATAAATATTAGTGTTTCGATAACGATATAATCTATTAAACCGCAATTATTTTTGAGAAATATAACATAAATATTCATCCTAAAGGAAAAGTTATTTTAATAAAATTCAACCTGCAATCAGGTGGATAAGCCGCCAAGACGGGTCCCGCTTTTTGACAAATTTGGCTAGGGTTACTAACACATCCACTACTTCCACTGGTAGTTGTAGTCTTTGAAGTACTAGGTGTAGTAGTTTTCGAAGTACTTCCAGAACTGCTAGATCGCGTGGTAGTCTTGGTTGTTGAATTTGTGCTTTGTTTGGTGGTTGTGCTTCCGCCCCCACTGCACCCTTGCATGGAATTGCTAATGGCGCGAATCAAACTCTTACTAGAATCTTGAGCTAATTCCCATATCATTACTCCCGCCATGTTATTCTGGCAGGCCCATTGAACCTATCATCAAAATAATGCAATAAATCCCTCAGATGACTCTTTATTAATCTATCGCTAAAGATCCGCAGGGGGTGAACTTGAATGGACCCGTTTTAATCGGAACTTTATTTCAAAATTTAACTTGAAAACTTGCTAAAAATTTTATTTAGTGATAATTTCTTAGGGTAACAATATCGGCAAATATTTCTATATTTAAAAAAAATAAAATAACAATTACTATCTTATTTTAGTGTTTAGTATTTAATTGAAATAATTTATTAATTTTTTTTCTTAAAAAATAAATCATAATTTATTTAAATTATTGGTCTATTGATTTGATTATTTTTATCGAATAAAATAATTCCTTATTCGTAATCGAGCCAATATAAAAACATCTTTCGATTTGGTTAAATTCTTTTAAGAAAATGATTAAATTTTTATTAAAAAAAATGATTTATGTAGATGTGGAAAAATAGAGAGTTTCGCAAGGAACATGCTGAATTCTTTATGAATAATTTAGAATATTTATGAATAATTTCGAAAATTAAAAATTATTACGATTAATTCGATTAAAATTTAAAAAAACTATACGACAGTTAATATATATTACCCTTATTCGTATTCAATTGGAAAATTTGAAAATAGAATAATTTATTTTTAGGTATACAATTATATATATAGTAGCACCTATATGTTTTCTTACGCTCACAGTTGCAAGGAATGGTGTTTTACTTTTTAAAAAATTATTTATACTAAAATAATAATGATTGTACTTTGTTAGTGACACTTTTTTCGTTATCGTAGCTAAGCCATTCGGATCCACTGACTGCATAAGGCACTTCTGCTGAATCATCCCAATGTTCTTGCCAAGTTCGGCTTTGTATCTTATCAGTGGATAATTGAAAATAACGAAAAAGTTATTTATCAATATTATTTTAATAATATTGTCTTATTAAGCAATGATATATTGTAAGTTCATTTATAAATGTATATAACCTTAATTTATTTATCAACTATTATTTTTAAAGTATAATATTGCTATAAAAAGCCATGTCGGGCGATATAATATTACTCATGAAAGTTCAAGGTAGATATTTAGAAACTCAGCGCCTATTCCATGTGAACAGGTCTTAACATTTATTAACAATTAAACTGCCTTTCTGTTTAAGTTTCACTTTATAAAAAAAAGGAAGTTGATTTGGAGAGTAATATATTATAATGTTCATGAGGGGCTCAACTTGAGTATAGGTTAAAACTCCATCCTCCCCAGAGCCATATCCGGATGCAGGTGCACCAACATTGGTATTGGATGTTGTCAATTTCCAGGTTCTTCCGTAAAATGGTATACCTATTACCATAATATTCTGATTTAGACCAACCTTTTTCCATTCGTCAACCGAACCTTTCTAAATATTACGAAAATAAATTCGTTAATTGTTTTTTAAGGCAAAATATTAATACAGTTGTATAGACTCCGGTCCCCAAAAGTGGAGAATTATGACCGGTTTGAGATTCCCAACCTGCTGAATGATAGTCATAGGTCATAATAGCTGCATAATCTAAATACCTGAAATAGTGATGCATCAAATAATATAATTTAGAAAGTTTAAGTATAATATATATATATTTTTTTTAAATATTTCTAAAAGTTAGAGCGATAAAACATTTATAAAAAATAAATGACTTGTTCATAGCGCTAGTATCAAATCCTCCGAAATTTTGATTCCCGGCTGGTACAGCAGACATTACTATTTTACTGGGAAACGCTGCTCTAAGATTCTTTTATATATATTATTTCATTTTAAAAAAAATTCATATTTTGTTTGTTTTGTCTATTTATAATTGTAATTAAATTCTATAGTAATTTTTCATCTGTTGTTAGGATCTAATCAAAAATTATTTTTACATCTGACATTATTTTTTATTTTAAAAAATCACAATATGCGTCTATTTTTTAAAAAAAATTAAATTAGCTCTAGTAACAAATATTTTTTTTTTCCTGTTTTTTTAAAACCTTTAAAATGTTGGCGTATGTAGTCTTTTCGGTAGAACTTATAGGATACTCCCAGTCTACATCGATACCATCTAAATTGTATGTTGAATCTAGCGTCACGCAACTGCTTACGAATTTGCTTAACGCACTTGACGAAGCCAAGTAACTTAAATTATATCCATATTAAGAATAAGTAATTTATAAAGTATATAACATTTTCAAAAAAAAAATAAATATTATATAGATATTTCAATGATAACCCGCATCAAAAATAATGATATCGTTTAATAAGGTGGTCACCAATCTTAACGTGAGTTGAATTCAAAATTTTTGTTTAATGATTTACCCAAACATATAGGTATATGAGGCACCTCCAATGCTAGGCACTATCTTGAGATTTGGATGTTGATTTTTAAAGTCCTTCAACTTCTGAAAATCGGCTAAAAAAATATGAAAAATATTCATCAATGGTCATAAATCTCCTATTTGATTATCAAAATATACGCTCAGGTCTAAGTTATATAATTCAAAGTTTAATAGGTTTAAATACAATGACTTCTTTGGATAAGATTTGAAAGGATCAAAACTGTACAAACACTTTTAAGAACTTCAAAAAAAATGATTATGAACAAAATTATATTAAAAAATATTTTTTACAGGCGCTATAACTCACGCTACCATCTTGATTGATACCGACAAAAGCATAGAGTAAATGGGTGATTGAATTAGCATCTACCGTTGACAAATCCAGAGGCCAGTTTGGCACGTATCCTATTATCACACCACCTAAAAATTAAATTATTAAATATATAATTAAAATTACATTTATTATATAACAAAATTCTAAAATTATTTTACTTTCTATAAATGTCGGTATCGTTATTAAGCATACAAGAGCCGTCAATGAGAGAAAAGTTTTCGAAGGTTGGAAAAACATTATGTTTTAAATATTATAAGAAATGTTAAAATTACCAATTTAAATAATATATAAAACCCTTACTCTTTTTTGGGGTGGTTTTTATAGTAATTTTTTAAACGAATATAGATGTTAAAAAAATCTCTACTTTTTTTTTTATATAGTTATTAATAGGAAATTATTTATTCAGTTGGTTCTTTTGATAAATATTTTACCATTTCATATAATAATATTTTAAAAATAGATACCAAATTTATTTCATCTCTAAAATTTTATGTTCAATAAAAATTTTTTTATTCTTTTAGGTTATTAGAACGTATATCGATAAAAATTATATTGAATTCCCCAAAAGAGGATACTTTCATATCTTTACAACTCCTTTCTATTCTATAGAAGTACACCATTTTCTCTTCCTATTCCCTGATATAGGGAGGCCCAAACTCCTGGCTCCTCATTCATTCTTACCGAATTGAAATGCCACCTTCACCCTCTCCCCTTCAATTATTTGTTCAGGTTTTATCGAAAAATAAGTAAAATAACCTATTTTTAGTAAAAAAATTTTGTTTTAAACATCCTAAAATAGAAAAATTATATAACGAAAAGAACAATCTGGAATTTAAAAAAATCGATTAACTACACCTGTTGCAGAATTGATAGATGGGTGCCATTTTCCATAGATATCCCTTGTATAATCAAAGGTGCGCACATATTGAGCGTTGCAAGCGCAAATAAAGCATTTCAAATGACCGCGTGCAAATTGGTAAAATTACCGTTTGGCGTTAGCAACCATTTTAAAAAAAACGCAAACAGGTTTGCTTTTCCATTACTCATTTTATTCTTCGCTTTGTAATATCAAATGTATAATATAAATAACTTACTTATATCCAAAGAAATATTTAGAAATTAAAGAAATAAGAAGGCAGACGATAATAAAATTTTCAAAGACAAAATCCTCTTTTTTTAAAAACTTATGCAAAATTTT